GCGTCTCATGAGGTCGGCAACCTCACGAGACTTCCCGGTAAGCGACCCCACGTTCAGGGTCCCAATTCGAACTAGCTTCTTTGGCCGAGGTCGTTCACCCCTCGGTAGCCCTCGCATACTGACCACAGAACTCGGGCGAGGGTTCTGCGCGCCACTTCCGGGTGACGTCCTAGCTTTAACACTGATCTTTTGCGACTTGTCATGATTGTTGTGACGGGTTCCTCCATCCACCAGCCCGCCTGTCAACATGGGCCTGACTCTTATTTTCCCATTCTGTTCCCATTCTTTGCAATTTTTGCAAGGCATGTTTGTGCCTCGGCAGGGATCGAACTCGTGGCTCAGAGTGCGAACATGAGTCTACACTCTTAACCACTCGGCTATCCCTGCCTTAAGCTCATTTCACACACTGAAGGAGGAAGTCGGCCGGTAGGACTAGTCCTCTATTTTCTGGATGTTTAATGCGAAGATCCACTTCACACGCAGAAGGTGGAAATGTGTGAGGAGATGACCCCTTCACACGCAGGAGGAGACTGACCCTTCATTTTTTGGAAATGTGTGGGGGCGTGGGAGACCCACTTCACACGCAGAAAAAGGATTGGCTCCTTCTGCATGAGAAGTGGGTCTTCCCCGCCCATCCGCAAAGAAAAAGAGGTCCAGTCGGATCGGCCGGCTTGGCCGGCATACCTGAACCGCAGAAGCCTTCCACGGATAACCTTAAGAATTTTGCTAGAAAGCCTTCCAAGAAGCAGACACGCTGGAATAGAACAAAAGCAGAGCATGAGTAAGGAAAGCGAAAAACGAACGAGCATTATATAAGCTTGGCCATAATTAGTAAAGTGCTTCATAGTTATTGCTGAAATTTAAAGTGCCTGACACGCTCAGCAATTCCAAAGTTTTCGCACTGCTGGGAAAGTTATCTGATCTCTAGAAATACTCTCGGAGAGCCTTCATAAGGTCTAAGCGTATGTTTCCACAACCATTAGGTGCGTTATTAGGTTTGAGTACGATCGTGGCATCACGTTCATGATATGATGGAGGACTACATATCAGTGAGTGATGACTCATCACATGTTTCACTACTAAAAGATTGTGGTTGGAAAGCACAGAGAGATTCCTCCAGCAGATATTCACTGAAAGTGAATGCAGGGCCCACTTCAAAAAGAGCCTCTGGTCTGT